ATCTCCCAAACACGGCCACAGATCCACAGCAGTGCCACCAAGGAAGCACTGAAATGGTGCTAAAACAGAAGCGCTCCACGTGCTGAAGCAGAGCGGCGCTTGGGGAAAGCAGTGAGAGCTGGAGAACCACTGGGGGGCAAAAAAAAAAAAAGCAACAAAACAAACAGTCCATTTCAATATCCTTTTCATAAGCAGTTGAAATGAACCCAGGAACACATCAGAGAATTATCATTTAGCACAGATCAAACAGCAGAACTCGCGCATTAAAAATACATGCGGCATTAATCAGCTACGCAGAGTTATGTGCCATCATTTCCATAAATAATACGGGATCAAAGCAGCCCAAGCAGCACTATCAGTTAATATAGGCAGCCAGTCAGTCAAAATACAGTAAAGCTGCCTGAAAAGTGCAGCAGGGTAATTTGCCAGGAATAAAGCAGATCCATCTGAGAAGTGGCACGACCAGTTAAACAGGTGAGGGCTTCCCGAAGCCTTAATTACACAGTGATGCCACAGAGCCAAAGCAAGGCAATAAAGGGTTAATGCAGCCCCAAAACGAAACTAAAGGAGAAAAAAAAATAATAAATCAAACTTGGGGGATGTTGATGTGAATCTGCCTGGAGGTGAACACCCAAGCAGCAGAAGGAGCACCGACCCAACCAGGAGCACCCCAGTGATGCTCCTGGTGGTGATGGCCACAGCAGAGACGCAGGGTCAGGACATGGGGTTCCCCCAACCGAGGGGACAGACCCCACCACAGAGCAGGGTTTGAAGTGCAGGCATCCATCACTGCGTGCAGCATGGCCGTGTCATTAAGTCTTTTGCTGAAAGGCTGCAGAGCCATTTAGCCGGCTGGTTTTTAAAGCAGGCGTGCGGAGCAGCGCAAGCTATAAATAGCAGGGATGCTTGCCTTGTCATGTTTCTGCTGGCTTATTTATAAGGACGTGGGGCGAGTGAATTAAAAATGGTAAAAAGAGCAGCTCGGGCTTCTCCCTGGTTTCAAGGCTGGTCTGCAGTAAGAAGAAAACCTCAGGGGGGGTTTGCTTTTTTTCCTTATCCAGGCAAAGAGCGAACACCCGCCCTTCCCACTGAGGCTCTGAACCGGTTACATTTACAAGGCAAATTTTAATTCATACAGCAGGTGCTCAGCAAATCCTCCTTCAAGCAGCAGAAGACCACACTGAGACTTAGCAGGAATCCGTGCAGCTCTGACACCTGCTTGGAAACAGGACTCATGCAGGCGAGGCAAGAAGAGGCCCCAAATCCATCCTTTTTCCATGGGTGAGTGCTCCAAAGCCTGCTCCGATAGTGATGCTCTGCACGTGACCTGAGCATCCCTTGGGATCTGGAGCCCTTGTGCACAGACAGGGACAAGCAGCAGTGCTGACTCTGCTCTCACTATAGAACCTGGACCAGCATCACCAGCCACCAACCTGCAGGGAGATGGGGGCAGAGGCGTCCCTATGAGTCCCCACGCATCTCCAAGAGCAGGCAGGAGGCCTGATCAGCACTGATGGAAAATTTCCTATTGAATAAAGAAAAAACATTCCGCCCTAACAGAGGGATTTATTCTTCATCCAGAATGCCTTGTTCAAAACGCTTCCAGATTGACAGGTTTAACCAAACTGAGACCCTTCCATACAAGCCCTGCTGACTCTGTGAGTGTTTTCCTCCAGCAGCCTTCCTCCAGAGCCCACGCTGGGGATGGAGCAGACGGACATTGCCCACAGGGCAGCACCACGGTGCAGGGCCCTTGAGCTTCATGGGAACACAGCCAGAAGCAATGCAATAACCAGCACGCAGCCACGTTATTTCAGTCTGACCCAACTGAAAGTCAAATTAAATGGAAGGGGGGGAAGAAAAGAAAAAAAGCAAATAATTTCCTGCAAAGCACAAACCTTGGGTTGCAGGCAGTTTAACGAGTCTGCAGGTGGGGTTCTGCTGGGGTGGTACAAGGCCACAAGAGCTCCCAAGGCAGGGCAGATGGCGAGGCTGCAATCCTCCCCCCAGGCTGTACACCATGTTAACATCCTATCAACCACCCAGCACAGTTCCAGCCCCGGCCCCACCTGCCCTCTACACAAGGCAGCCCCACAGAGCCCAGCGCCTGCAGTCCCCAAAAAGAGCTCAGGTCCTCTCTGCAGCCTCATTGAGAAGCCTCAGCTGCAGACTGAGTGCTGCATCCCGGCTTCAGCATCCCGGCAGTTTGGGGTTTATTTTAAGCACTTGTCGGAGGTACAGCAGAAGGAGTTGTCCTGGCCAGATGGCTGCGGGAGAAATCCCTGCTCCGCTCCCAGAACAGGCACAGCTTCAGCCCCACTGCCAGCAGATGCCTCACACAGCCCATCTCTGCTCTCGGGAGCACCAGGAGCTGCAGCAGCACTCCCTGCCAGCCCGCTGGCATCGGCTGCAAATATTAGAAGCAGCATGATGACTTATCCTGGGTATTTATAGAGCAAAACACTCTGAAATCTCTCCCCTGACTTCAGCAGGCTGGCGTGCCTCCGTTCCTCAGGGACAGGTCCTTCTGTGCTCCTCTGCCCGCAGCTCCTTGGGATGGTCCCTGGATGCCCCCAGCACGAGCCTGCCATCATGGTAAGCAGCTCACTACAGCACAGCCCCACTCTTCCATCTCATGCTCAGTTTTTCCCACCTGGCAGCTCAGCAGTGCAGTGTTTGTCCCAAAGGAAAAAAAGGCAAACCCTCGCACTGCACAAGGAAGCTAATAAGTGAGACTTTGGGTACTCCATAGGTCTTCCCAAAGCATCCCGATTTTTATAAGCACTGCTAAGCCCAAAAATCTCAAAAATCTTGAGTCAGGACCATTGGCAGCATCTGATTCAAGAGTGACTCAGGCACAACAGCATGGAGGCAGGAGGAAGGCAAGTGAGCCACAGGCAACATCCCTGCATTGTAAGCTCAGGATAAAACCTCACAATGTATTCTTCAATTGAAGTTAGGCTCTGCCCTGGCTGCTCCCCTACTCAACCCGAGTAACGTAAGCATCCTCCTTACCACAAGTCTTCACGTCTGTAACTTGATTTTCATGTCCTTAATTAAAATTAAAATGTGCCATCCAGAAGCCGAGCTGTCCCAGTAACTGAGCCACATCCAAACCTCAAACCAGGGAGCTCCTGTCCCACTGGGATCCGGGAGCTGCAGCCTCCCACAGAACACAGCCCTAGTGCAGCAGCAATGGGCCTGCCTGTTGATGGCCTTGGAGCCTGAAGCAAAGCCCTTTCCCCTACAAAATCACCATGGGGACCACAGAGGACCCCAGAAGACTTCTTCTTGCACGTAGGGTGCAGGGACCCCACGTGTGCAGCTAGGCCTGAAGCAAAGAAGCATACTTTGTGCTGGTGGCCATGCCCACCCATTTGGCCAGGTCACCCTATGCCACCTCTAACACCAGATCTGCTGGTGCTCTGTGCCCAATCTAAGCCCATGGGCTGGAATCCCCCCATGCAATGCAGCTGCACCTTCCACATCTGTGCTGAGAGCATCCCAGCTGTGAGCCGCAGCCAGCAAACCTCACCAGCACCCCAACTCATTGCACCCCAATGGGGTCCGAGACACCTGCACACTTCCTTGCTCCAAGTGCTGCTTTCCCAGAGAGACCCTCACGCACAAAGCACCCTGCAGGAAGGAGCAGACAGAAGGGTTTTGTTCTCCATGCAAGAGCAGCCTAAATGGGGCTGTGCTGACTGCATGCACCCAGCCAAGAAATCCCTGCAGTGTGAAGCCACCCCAGCCCCGAGCACACGGGGAGCACAGGGTGCTGTGTGGATAAGGCAGGGCACGCTTCTAAGCCCATCTCCACAAACAGGAGGATTAACAATTTGCTTCCCTTAAAAAGAAAATCCGGGATTTTAACAGGATTGGAAAGAAAAATAAATACTGTGAAACTAGGAAAGGGAGAAGAAGAACAAACCAAGCAGAGGCTGAAGGGCTTCTGAAATCAAAATGAGAACAACACACTGAAGTCAGGATTTCAGTCTTGGTAGCGTTGAGAAGACTCACACACCAGTTCCTTATCAGGAATAATGCTATCAGCATTAAAGGAATTCCTTCTGATGCCTGTGAGAAGAGGCCCACTTGTTTCATATAATGAAGGATAGAAAGCATTAATTTCCTACTCAGGGCTGAAGAAACAGCACTGAAGGCACTGAAGCCAAGAAAACAGGCAACTGACCCCATGGATCCCATTGCCCTCACCAACCCTTCAGCTCCATGTGAGCTGGGAAACCCTCCAGCAGGTGCATCAGGCATGGCCAAGCCCAGGGAGCAGCCCCACATCACCAGGCCCCCGAAACAGCCCTGACACGTCACAGCCCCCACTAAGACCAACAGCTAAGGAACCACAACGAGCCCAACGAACTGACTCTTCAGAAAGGCATCGCAGGTCCACGTGCTCCCACTCCACACGCACTAAAGGGTGGAGAGCAAGAGGAGATCAGTGTCTGCCACCACCAACCCCTGGGCACAGCACGAGCATCTCAGTGCCACCTCAGTGCCCATCGCCACAGAGCCATGCTGGCAGAGGAGCCGGCCCATGGATAGGCAGAGCAGAGGGCAGGGAAGGCTGGCACGCTGCTGGGCTCCTGCCGGTCCCGTCTCAGACGTGGCAGCACCGCGGGATTTTGCTCTCAGGGACCCCAAACCCTCCTCCCGCTGTCAGCAGCTCCCCATCTCCACCCCTTCCATCTCCTGGAGAAAATAAAGACCCGAACCGCGATACAAAGAAGAGAAGCACCGAGGGCCGCACTTGGGAGCAGCCGCAGCCGTAACGCCAGGAGCGCCGGTCGGTGCCGTCGTTCAGCCGCGGGGCTCCGCAGCAGCGCAGAGCGGTCGCTCCGCCACGGGCGGCTCTCAGCAACCCCGGCAAGGAGCAAAAATTACCACCGTTACAGAAATAAAGCAAGCAAAGGAAGGAAGCAGCGCTCCGGCCCCGCTCCCCGCCCGCCGGGCACAAAGGAACCCCGGTACCTCGCGGCGCTCACCTGCGGGGCCCGCGGTCGCCGCCTCCTCCTCCTCCGCTTCCTCTCGGGGAGGCTCCGGGGGCGGCGGTGCGGGGCCGGGCCGGGCCGTGGGGCCGCGGGGCCGCGCGGTGGGTGCCGGGCTGCTGTCGGCGGGGCCGCCGCTGCCGCTGCCGGGCTCGGGGGGCGGCGCGGAGCCGGGGGGGGGCAGCCCGGCAGCGGCGGCCAGCAGGGCGGCGAGACAGAACAGGGCGAGCCCGGGCGCGGTCCGAGCCCGGCGCCTCATGGTGCGGGGCGGCGCTCCGCCATTCACTCCTCCATCCCTTCGCTCCCTCGTTCGGCGGCTCGCTCGCCGGGCGGCGGCGGCGGCTCCCGCCCGCCTCAGCCGGCCATGCCGCTCCGCTGCCCAGCGCCCGCAGGCGGCACCCGGCGCGCCCCGGCCCCGCTGACAGCGCCGCGCCCTCTCCGCCCCGCCCCGCTCGACCGCAGCCAATCACCGCGGCGCCCGCCGCACGTGACGCTAACTTTGGGACGCGCCCCGTGCCGTTCAGCCAATCCGAGGGCGGAGGGGGCGGGGAGAGGGGCGGGGCCAAGCGGCGAGGCCTCGGTGGTGCGGCATTGTGCGGAGCGCCCCGCCCCCAGCAGCGCCGCCCGCGTCGCGCTGCCGGCTGGGCTTCATTATGCTGCGTTACACCTCTGCTGTGTGCCTATGGCTTTGTATTTTCTTTTAAATATATTTTATGTGTTTATGCTTTACCTACTTAAAGATATCTCTTTTTTTTTTTTAAATAAATAAGTACAGAATTATATCTTTGGGCGGGTTTTTTTTTTTATTATTTTTGGCTTTTTTATATTTTATTTTCTTTCAGCATCATAGATCTTTTTTCTATATTTCACTCTTCCACATTTCATATTACAGCATTTTACATTATGGAGCGTTTTTAACGTTACTTATTTTTATCTATAGATATATATGTCTGTTATTGTTCATATTTTTACCTCTTTCATTCAGACGAATGAATCCTCCATCCCACCCCACCCAGCAGTGATGAAGGCTGTCCCCGTGGCCCCCTCCCACCGTTCCATGTTCCCACCCTGCACACAGCTCCCTGTGCTCCCCACCCAGACAGGGACAGCTGTGGGATAACAAAGCTGTGGATCCCTGCGCTCCCACCAGCTCTGTGCACCAGGAGTGACTTTGCCCCACCATGGAAGTGCGGTGATACAAATGTTAATTATTAACGTGGGGCACGTGGGTGCACTGTGAGCCCGGTGCTGTGAGGATCCATTGGAGCTGTGCAATAGGACTGTGGTCATCAGCACTACTGCACATGGCTGCTAATGGTGCTGTGAAAGCTTGCAGGGCTGGACAGGACCAGAGAGCAGCCACTGCTCTGCATCCCTCAGCGTCCTTTGCATCGGAATGGTGTTAGCTGGAAGGTACAGAGATCACCCAACTCCAGCCCTCCAACTGCAGGCATCTCCATGCATGGGGCACCTCACGTGGTGCAAACAGAATCATAGAATGACCTGGGTTGAAAAGGACAACAATCATCATCCAATTTCAACCCCCTGCTGTGTGCAGGTCGCCAACCAGCAGCCCAGGCTGCCCAGAGCCACATCCAGCCTGGCCTTGAATGCCTCCAGGGATGGGGCATCCACAGCCTCTCTGGGCAACCTGTGCCAGTGCCTCACCACCCTTTGTGCGTCACCCTTTGTGACAGACAGGTGTTGGCCTTGCATCTCTTTCTTACAGGAGGTGACAAACACCGCCCTGGGATCAGGCAGCCCCACCTTCACTGCTGATCCAGGCTGTGAGTCCTTCCCTAACACCACATTTCAGGTTTGTCTGCAAGGGCAACATGTCTGCAGCGGGTGAATTGCTGCTCAGTAATTCCCCGCTCTTCCCCCATATCCACTCCCTTTTCAGAAATGAATGGGTTTTTTTTCAGGCCTGATAATATAATTATTATCCCCCACCAGCTATGCCGTGCCATTTCCCTCGGGGCAAACCTGATGGCTTTGTGTGCCCGAGGTCTGAAAGCATCCTCTGAGCTCAGCATCGCAGCTCTGCAGCTCCCACCTCCCAGCACAGCGTTGCTCATCTGCGCTCCAAAACGCTTCTCCTATATAGGAGAAGCCCTTAGATGCTATCAAGGGGTGCAAGAAGGAATCGCCTCAGCGCTATTCGTGGCTCAGAGCCCCGGCGCTGCTCCCACCGCCCGCTGATCTCCACCAGCGCTGCGCTGCCCGAGGCGCTCCCCGAGGCCGGCCGGGCCGGGCCGGGCGGCAGAGCTCGCCGCTCCCCCTGGTGCTTTCAGTGAGGGTTGCAAGCGCTGCACGCTGCCCCGAGTTCGAAGCAGATCGAAATGGAGCTCATCGACACCCAGCGGTGCTCCGCGCGGCGTTCGGTGGGGCACAACCTCCTTTCTGCGTTCGGTCTGCAACCAGAAAGTGAGAACGGTGCGTCCTCGGGACCGAGCTCAGGTTTGGAGGATATCAGCATCCCCCTGGGGTTGTTCTTATTCCATCGCATCAGCAAGATTTCCTTCCCCACTGGAAAGTTTCCAGGAGCTGTTTAACAACCGGTGTTCTCTGACCTATTTGCAAGCCCCAAGCCTCTCCTCACCACCCACAGCTGGAAAGCTTTGATAATTCAATGAGATGTTAATTCTGATACCCACAAGGACGCAAGATACAAAACCTCTTTTTTTTAAATTCTCATTAATTGCAATGCAGGAGTAACGAGATTTCACCGCTGACTCCATTTCCAAAGCAGCATTGTGCTGCACTGCTCCCATTGGGCCTAAGTGCTGCCTGGGCAGGCAGCTCCCCGACATGCACACAGCCACTGCAGGGACCAGCAGGACCCATCCTGCCCTCCATCCTGCCAGCAGAGCCCCGTAGGGACAGCAGCACATTCCCTACACTGCTCTTTCTGGGTGAACTGTTTCATTATTCCACATGCAATCTGACCATCTTTTAAATCATCCAACAATCTGTTGGGGGGACGTCAGGTTCCCCAGAGCCTCTGAAAGGAGTGCATCACAGCACAGTGTTAATAAGCAGCTGCTCGGATGCTGATCCTAACCAGGAACCAGCTGAAAACATAAAGCAAAAGCAGCAGCTTTATCGTCACTGCTGCAGCCAGCACTGTGTGTATGTAACAGCATGGGTGTCGGGAAGAAACTCATTCCAAAAAATACCTCTGTTCTCATGACTGAGCTTAATGTTAGCAACAAGAGAACAACACAGCACACGTGTTCCCTGCGTGCTTCAGAAATCAAACACCATCGTTGTTCTGTCCCACAGCTGGCACCTCTCTTGCCACTTCCCAGCTAAGTGCATCCCCCCCAGCCAAACCCCAACCTGGGCATCAGCAGAGCCAGCACAGCTCTGTGTTCAGGTGAAATAAAAGCAGGAGTTGCTGGTGGCAGTGGGTGGGATGTGGTAGCAATCCTTGTGGGTCCCAGATGTGCACGCAACAGTGCCTTGACTTTGGGTACATCAAGGTCATGCACATGGAAAGCTAAGCTCCTTTTCACATCAAAAGTGGAAAAAGACTGAATAAATTTGAGTGCCACAAACATTTCTCGCTGCTCGCTGGGAGGTTGGGTTGGAACAGCTCTGTACTGCTGACTCAGATTGCTCAGAATCTGGAATTTCTGTTCCGAGGGCAACTGATGCCACTTTGTTTTGTGCTTCCACCTCCAAATCCACCCAAAATCTCCCACAGAATGAAAACTTTCAGAGCTCTGGATGGAGGTGACCGTGCTTGCCATGATGCAGCCCCATATAGTGGGAAGCACTGTGAGTTCCCATGCACACACCACATCTCACACCCCAATATTCCCCCTCACCTCCAGCTCTTCCCACCACACCCCAGGGATGTGCACTCCTGATGTGCAGAAGCACCTCCCCGTGCTGCTCTGTGTGCCCTGATTCACACTGCGGGGCACAGAGAAGAGCAGCCCTGGCACTGGTTGGGAAGCACAGAGCATCACTGACAGCAGGGTGGAAGAGTTTCCCTACTGCACATCCACAGAAGGGAGCAGCAAATCCTCCCCTTGTTTGATGGCGGATCGTGCAGGCAAGTCCTCGAATGAGAGATGCTGAGCTACCGGGGATTATGCATCTCCTTTGAAAAAGGGCTTTTCTTCGAGATCCCTGCAGCAAATCTCCTGCTCTTACCCACCCTGAAGCACTGGTAACACTCTCTATCTCTGCAGCTTTCTGCCACAGACACGCATTTTGCCTTTCAGTCCAAGGCTGGGGTTTGTCACCGAATGCTGAAAGCGCATTAGTGCCTGGGATGCAGGGCAGGCTTCGGTGGGGCCGCCCGAGTGAAACAAAGCTTTCTGTGTCTGACTGTTTTTCCACGTGTGCCTGTGGTAATGGAACCCTGTAGGCCTGTATGGAAGCCTGGGGCTCATTCTGACCAAGGGGAGCTGCAGCATCACACCGTCCCAATGGCACTGCAAGGCAGGGAGTCCCTGCAACCCTTAACCCAGCGATGCCCACATGGGGCATCTCATCCACCACTGTGCACCAGCTGGCTGCCTTCACCAATGCACAGCTTCTACCAAAGCCCCCAGGTTTTGTTTCAAGACCCCAAAGCTGGGAAAAAAAAAAGAAAAAAAAAGCACCACCACTTCCCTTTGGATTTGCTCCAAAACATTACACCTGGTTTTGTTCTCTTTTTGACAACGAAGGTGATTTATTTCCATTTTGACTCTGTCTGGCCCTCACTTCCAGCTGCCCATTTGTGTTTTCCCCCTGCTAGACTACAGGCCCTGCAGCACCCAGCCTGCTCCTCCATCAGGTATTTATATGCTGTCGTCAGGTCACCTCTCAACCTCTTGTTTTAATCACACAAACAGATGGAGCTCTGTAAGTTCTCCCCATCCACAGCTGCTTCTCCAGCCCTTCCATCATTTCCGCAGCTCTTTTCAACGCTCTCCACCACCCTCTGTTAAACACAGACACCTGAATTGGTTGCAAAATTCCCAAATCAGTCTCTCCAGGCCCATAAAAGACAAAGTCCTTTCCCAGCTCCTGTGCACCATTTCCCCTCTCACACACCCAACAATGAAATTCAGTCTTCTGGCTGAAGCTTCATCCATCACCAGGAAGATCCTGCAGAAATGCTGCTTCTGCTTCACTACAGCCCATTGGGGCTTCATAGAGAAAAGCCAGCCTAAATTACCCCCCTCAGTCCATTGCCTTGCCCTATAACCCCGGTGCTTCCTCTATAGGAAATGCTGCTTTTATGCGAGGAAGGTTCCC